TTATCAAAGTAACTAATACTAGTATTGTGTTTTGAAATAGTTGGGTAAAGTTTATCGTGGCAATTTTTAAGTTTAGCGACTTTTCAAAATGGCGGCAATTTGTTTATTTTCGTGTTGATCGTGACGATATTTTTTAAATACAAGTATTGATTCGCTCCTATTTCTTATCTTTTAGGAATGCTGTGACACATATGTGGAAAATTCAACTTAAAAACATCCAGAAATAGTTCTTTGGTATGGAATTCTATGCCATGTATAACTATTACGAAATATGCTATCGATAAACACGCACACTCGGAGATGCACAAGAAGGCCATGTCATTTAATAGAAGTGGGAAGCAAAGAAAATCACGGCGTTCTCAAAAGCTGCAGATCACTGGGCTTCCATGAAAGTCCGAAAAATCAACATTACATAGAAATCACACAGCAGCAGATTCATTTAATCTTCTACATAAATTTGTTAAAAAATAAAGACACATTTTCATCCATGCAAGCCTGTCATTATTGTTTTCTTTATCTTCAGACAAATGCTAATGATATGTAAATTATATGCAAATTAGCCGCCACTCTGATACATTTTTCTGGGGAGAACACTGCATGTATCTTAGACATGTCTGGACTGATTACATTCAAACTTCCTGCATACATCATACATGATATTATACATGTGCACATCATTTGTTGCACAATCTGATTCAAGATAGCTGAATGACAACCAATTTTTGTGCTGAAAAGTCATCAAAATCAAGCATTTCTGATATTTCGGAACTGGATCTTGGTCATTTATGGATAAATTTTGCTCAAACTTTGTTTCATACATTTTACAATATGCATCCTTGATGCACGTCATTTTGTTTTTAAGATCAGATTCAAAATGGCTGCCTGGCGGTCATTTTGTTTTAATGAATGGCAAAATTTGTGCCCTTAATTAATATCACTTCGTAAGTCCTGACTTTTGTGTTACAGAACAAAAAGGAGAAGTTTTAGAATTTTCTGACGTCTGTCATCATTATCTTGGGAAATGGGGAGAATATTGTAGTGTGTTTTTTTCTCTATCGTCTCTATTGGGTGCCATGATAGTATACTGGGTTCTGCTTTCCAATTTTCTCTACCATAGTGTCAAATTTATTTATGGTAAGTAAAATAATAAACTCTATATTGAAATTTTGTTGGTTGAAAAATAATTATTGAAAGTGTCAATACATGATTGCTTGGTATGTGCTGTATTCTGTGATTCTTTTATTTGTGCAGTCTACTTCAGCGAGTAGAAACAGTTTTATTGCAGTTTGCTCAGGGACAATTTTGAATTCTTTTTCAGATGATGTAAACCATGTAAATATGTCCAGCTCAGGTAATGTCACTGATGGAATCTTGTGTCCTGGTCTTCCTCCGTACGTACCACCAACCCCCTCAACAAATATTACACTTAGTCTGACAACCCAGTCATTACTGTCTTTAGATACCAGTAGTAATGGTAAGTTATTATGTAGCAGCGCTATTAACATTTTTATTACCAATACAGAATTTAATTTGTTTTTTTAATCATATATAATATTTTACCTATTTGGGTTATTATCGTATGTCAGATTTGGTGTTCAGTATTACTTTTACATTAAATGTTTTATTGTCTTGCCCAAAACTGTTAGCCTGATTGTTTTGATATGTACCAGACACCTTTAGTTGTGTTTGTTTCATCACTGCATTATATCACAAAACTACAACACATTCAGGATGGTGTTTTATACATTTATTTAGTTGTGAAATGTGAAGATCAATTTTACTGATTATTACACTACAAAATAAGAATGAAAACTGGTAGATTTTATGATGTACTCGTAACAAAATTACTTTGGTGCTGATTCCCAGGAATAGTCTTTTGTTCAAATTTAGCTGGACCCATCTTACACCTTAGTATAATCAGTAATCATTTTAAACTCTGCCAATGTTTGATTGTCTAATCATGATTTTAATCTTGTTTATACTTTCAGCAGTGGAACACAATTCAGAAGATGTTTTTAATAAAGTTTGGCAGCAGACTTTGACCATACCCTTCTTTCTATGTGTGTTGCTGTTCCCACTTTTAAATTTTAAGTCTCCAACTTTCTTCACGAAGTTCAATGCACTAGGTGAGAATGACATGAATAATTCCTGATTACCGTATTGATTATTGAATGCCTTTCTGATACAGCATACCATGATGTTGGTTGCAATGAAATGTTGCATGGTAGAAGTATATGTAGTATATAGACAGTTTGCACAAAGTTTTATGTACCATATGAACAAAGATTGTATTTACATCTCAACTGTTGCAGCTTCTGTTAAACGATTTTTATCAAAAGTTGTAATTATTTGTTAGTAGACTAAAATATTATATATTAAAATATTATCTATTAAAAGTGAATCTCCAATAGGAAACCATATAAACCAAAAATTCTATTTTTTGTATACCGAGTCATTAAATTTTTCAAGTCTGTGAATAATTAGGTTTATATGAAATTAAATAAATACATATTAATTATTTCAATTTCACCATGCATATGTGCAAGTGTTATGCGTTTATATAATGATTACCGTTCTATCCCATTATAGGTACTGTGTGCGTTATTTACATTTTATCCTTTGTGACGGTGAAGGCAGCACACTGGGGAATTAATGTGAAATTCACATCACCAAACTCAAAATTCTTTGTTCCAAGTAAGTGATTTTATAAGTTAGTTTTAAAAGTTAAAATTCGACACAGCAGAGCTGTTCATATTACTGATTGTCCCTCGTCGTTGTCAACTTTACAATTTCAACTTCTTCTTCAAAACCGCAAGCCAGAATGTTCTCAAATTTGATATGCAAGTACCTTGGATGGTTCTTTCTCAGATTTGTTCATTTCATGTCAAAATTTCAAATTCTCTTTTTTTGGTAAATATTTTTGGTGAAAAGGGATATTTTCAACTTCTTGTTAAAAACCAAAAGACCAATTGCTTTGATATTACATATATACCGGTAGATGCTACATGTGGACTTTTCTCAGATTTGTTCATTTCATGATGATATCTTCAATTCTCTAATTTTGGTAAAAAAAATTTTCATTTTTGGTAACAAGTGATATTTTCGACTTCTTGTTAAAAACCACAAGTCCAATTGCTTTGATACTATACATATTGTTCATTTTCTAATGATATCTTCAGTTCTTTAATTGAAATGTGCATTGCAAAACTATCTCAGCCAACAGGCTGTTTACTCTACATCAGGTTGGGTTGTAGCATAATTGACTATATCTCAGCTGATGGTGGAATCAATTAACATTAATTACTCATACCAGATATTTAAATTCCATATATGGAGTTAATAGAACAATAGAACACCATATTTGGCATTATTGAGGAATATGTATAGCTGTTAGATGCTGATTGCTTGTCTATGTCATAATTCTCTGTTCAGTTGCTCGTCAGTATTTCCCAGCATTCACTGGTACTTTAGCATTGGCTTATTTTATTCATAACGGAATACTGTCAATACTGCGAGGACAGAAACATCCAGAAAACAATGTAAGATGTTGGCATAAATTATAACTGGAATCTACCATGTAACAATTGTGATTATTCATCATTAAGGCACAAATACAGCTGAATTCTGGAAAACATAAAATATAACTCATATTTTGAAAGTATACTCTTTTTTGCCTAATGATGATTTCTGCCTGTTATAACTTGATTTCAATATATAACTGGTATTATAATCCTAATTGTTCATGGTTGGTTTGTTAACATTTAGCAGTATACAGTTAATGGATGGTGTTCTCACTATTGTTATTTGTAACAGTCAGTATCAGATTTGGGATATTGATTAGCATGCATAATATGCTATGTTGCTATCTCTCTCTGTCGCTAATTACTAAGCTGTGTTATTTGTACTACCATATTTGCTTTACAGTAAAACAGCAAGCAAATCAAAATTTATTCTACAGGTCAAATAAAATTTGAAATTCACATTCAATTTGATATTTTAACTGCCAAAGATCACACTGTCCCTGACAACTTCTCAGTGCCTTGAATACTAACGTGTTTTGCACGCATTGAGTCATGGGTGAAGGTAGACACAGTCGACAGTTGCTTCAAATAAATAGTTGATACTAGTATTGAGACATCATGTTTTAGTGATAAAACCATCTTATTAACTGTGTACCTTGCTATGACTCTATAAGGTTTTATAAATATTTCATCTTTTATAAATATTATCATTTTAATGCTTTACCACATCTTCTAATTTCTAGAAGTGCGCGTATTTTTTCCTGCTCTAACTGGAACACTATCCCTGGCATATTTTATACATAATTGCATATTGTCTATAGTAAGAAATCAGAAGAAACCTGAAAATAATGTAAGTTTGAGGACTACTATTACCTGTATAGTACTTCTCACTCAGGTTCCTTCACTGTTACTTGCATGGTCTTTTTTTTATGTCATTGTTATATACAATGTATGGTGTTTGTGTAATATTCATACACTTAAAGTATTGAGTTCAGCACTGTTTAATGCACAAACTAATATTCTTCTATTTCCCCCAGCCATTATAAGTTGTTAAGTTTCCAAACAAATATTGTTGTATAATTATATAACTGATTAATATTTAGTGATATACAAATTACATGACTGGTTCACGCTGACTGTCTCTCAGTTTAATTTTAATTGACACCCAAGTAATGCAATATTTTAAACTCAAATATTTAATTTCATCGGACAGTGTTTTTTTTTTGTCTACAGTAGTTGCCATTTTCTTGGAATAAAGTGCCCTGTTTCACATTTTAGATTTGAGACACTATAATTGGGAGGAAACCTCACGTTTAATTAATCCTGCGAGTTAATTCTGTATACCAGTAATTAATAAGCGCTTACTAAATAAAATAATTAAAGCCAAGAATTAACCATTCAAAGCTCACAAATTTTCCAAAAAACATTTTCTTCTAATTAATATTACTTTATCAACTCAAAGTTTTGTGATTAATTATGATTTTCTTCTGGTTTCCAACTTTCCTGTTGGTGGCTTGCTTAACCCTTACTCCTGTTAATGGTGATAACAATACGTGGTTGTCATGCCAACATGATGGTTCAGATAACTAATATACCCTTGTATATTCGATTATTTCAAAAACTTGTAGACTTGCAAAATGCATTGTCTTTTACTCGGTCTTTCTTGAATTTAAAACAAATGATTCAATTTCAAATTGAAATATAACAGGATAGATTGTTTTAGTGATGAGCAAAAGCTAAAAACATCATTCTGAAATCTGTAAATAGTGCATTATGGGTAAAGCATGACATCCATTTGTATGGTGCATTGTGGGTAAAGTTGAAGCAATCATGTTTATGGTGCATAATTGATAAGAGTTAATGCACTTTTCCCATATGATATTGTATTACAAATAATCCCTGCAGTAGTTCTTCATGTACAAATTGTATCTGTAGGGTCGTGATTTATCAATATCATATATACTGGTGGCTTTGACGTATACATGGGTTGGCGTATTATTTTATATTTCATTTCCAAACAAAAAAGAGTGTATTGAAGCGGTAAGTCGCAGTATAATTTCTTGAGAAATGGCATGAAATATATTATAGTGTTGGGCAGAACTCAAAACCAGTATTCGGCCCTGGCAGTGTGATTGAATGTACTATTTCAACAAAATATTAATTGAATTTTAGTGGATGTGAAAACATTTAACAGTGACAGTGAATTTGCATATATTGTAAAATACACTATGACTGTATTATAAAATAGATAACCAAATTGAATTCATCTATCTTTACCAAATATTATGGAAAATTCCGAATACTAGATGAGAGGAAATAATTTATACCAATTGTGTAAAACCTTTTTTTTTTCTCAATTTCCAGAATCTACTTGATAATTTTCCAAGTAATGACGTGATGGCATTTGTTGCTAGGATATGTCTTCTGATTCAGATGATCACGGTCTTTCCTCTTCTAATTTACATATTCCGGTTACAATTTATGCATACACTGTTTGGTGCTGTGTACCCTGGGTAAGTGCCTGTTAAAATTGTGTAATGCAACTGCGATTTGTATTTTTAAAGATAATTAAACTAAATGGATGCCTTATGTGTGAGATATGATAATTTGGAGAAATCACATACTCATTGTCACCTTGGAAACTCTTTGCATTCAGTATTTGTCATGTAACCTATCTTTGGGCAAATTTTAGCTATGTACTACTGTAAGAGAAAGTGTGAACATATCGTTAAAGTATAGATGCAGATTTGTGGCCACTCTGAGTGAAATTTTTTTCTTCTGCTTTTTCTTACCCACTCTTTTCTAGATAGTGTAAAAATTTCAGATCATCATCAATGCTAAAACATACTCAAAAATCGATTTTAAATGTATTTCATCACTTTTCACAAATTAATGCCCACATAATTTTGTCTATAATATTTAAAATTTTGATCATTAACTGTAGCCAATGAGAAATTTATGTCCATTTGATTCACAATTAACAAAAAAAACTGGAAAAATACCAAAATGATGACAAAAATAATTATGGCGTTCTTTCATTTTAATACTCAAATACCATTGTTCATTTCAGGATTATTCATGTCGGAGTTCTCAACATCTGTGTACTGGCAATTTGTGTCTTATTTGCCATTTTTCTTCCACAAATTGGAACTATTATCAGGTAAAAATTATTTCTAGTAAATTTACTTTGTTATCATGTGATTCTTTCAATATGAGATTATAGTAGTCTGATGCCGATGGTAATATCCCAAATACATGCTTACATAAGTCATTTATGTAAATTTGAAATGAAATCCAGTAATTCTATTCCAAATACAGTAGTGTCACTGTGATGAATGTCCAAATATGGTAGTCAACCTTAATTAGCTCCGCTGTCGACTTTGTCGAGCGGAGCTTATCATATGAGTGATTGTCCGTCGTCGTCATCGTCCGTCGTCGTCTGTCGTCCGTGTCAATGTTTTACTTTTTCGACTTCTTCTTGAAAACTACAAGCCTGAATGCTTTGATACTTGGTGTATATGTACCTTGGGTAGACCTCTCTTAGGTTTGTTCATTTCATGTTGATATCTTCAATTCTCTAATTTTGGTGAATATTTTTGTCATTTTTGGTAAAAAGTGATATTTTCGACTTCTTGTTAAAAACCGCAAGTCCAATTGATTTGATACTACGTATATAGGTACTACATGTGGACCTCTCTCAGATTTGTTCATTTCGTGATGATATCTTCAATTCTCTAATTTTGGTGAATATTTTTGTCATTTTTGGTAAAAAGTGATATTTTCGACTTCTTGTTAAAAACCGCAAGTCCGATTGCTTTGATATTACATATATAGGTACTACATGTGGACCTCTCTCAGATTTGTTCATTTTGTGATGATATTTTCAATTCTCTAATTTTGGTGAATATTTTTGTAATTTTTGGTAAAAAGTGATATTTTCGACTTCTTGTTAAAAACTGGAAGTCCGATGCTTTGATACTATTCATATTGTTCATTTTTGACTCCCGTGTGCGAAGCACAAAAGGAGTCTTT